ATATAATTTATTATATATTATATATTAAATTTTGTAAAATCTCGATTTTACCGATTCGATTTTACGATTCCGATTTCACCTAACCAAAACAATTTTAGGTAAAATCTCAATTTTGACAACATTGGATATAGCCTTCTATTAATAAATGAGGTAAAGAGATTATAAGACAATTTTTATCTCTTACAAAATTTCTCTAATTTTCACTTTTCACCGTCTCAATGGCATACTACTATTTTGCATAGTGATGTCCAGCCTGTAGAAATTCATGCTTGCTAACGAATATTCTACCTAACCATAGAAAATATACATATAGCAAGTTCTTCATTTACATTTATTCTGATATGCCTACATTACTCTTTGACCAAGCCTGGCCGGTTGATGTTCAGGCGATAACCTGGGTAGACATTATGTTCTTTGATATTTTCTTAAGTCTTTAAATTTTCTCAAGTCTCCCCTGCATATAATACCGACTCTCCACAGCTTCCCAACTACTGCCGGTTCTTCAATATTGTGGCAGTCATGGCGGCTTGTGTAAGCAATCTATCTCTCTTCATTCTTTCTCTTTTAATCGTCTATTTTGTCCCGGTTCAAAGCGGCGGTGGCTTCAGCGCCCAACTCATCCACCGTGATTCGCCAAGATCACCTTTCCACAACTCCTCAGAAACCCATTCACAACGCCTAACTAACGCCTTTCTCCGTTCCATCAACCGCCTCTCTTACTTTAACACATCAAGACTTGAACTTCAATCCGATGTTTTTTCGGACGGTAATATTGGCGAATACATTATGAATATATCAATTGGCACACCGCCAGTGGAGATTTTGGGTATAGCTGACACAGGCAGCGATCTTATATGGACGCAGTGCAAGCCTTGCGCTCATTGTTACAAGCAAGATGCCCCTCTGTTCGATCCCAAGTCTTCCTCCACATACGAGCCTCTGTCGTGCTTGTCAACAGAATGCAAAGCTCTGAATGCAACTATAAATGGGACTTTTTGCCCCCCTAAAGCAGGGGATAGTACTTGCTTGTATACATACACCTATGGAAGTGGCTTCACAAAAGGTGATCTTGCCACCGAAACAGTCACCCTAACATCTGTTAGCGGCGAACAGATAGCCTTCCCGAAGACCATTATCGGCTGCGGGAGGAACAATAGTGGAGGCTTTGACAAGAGAGAATTTGGTATCATTGGCCTCGGAGGAGGTGTTGTTTCCCTTGTTTCCCAATTGGGTTCTTCAATAGATGGAAAGTTCTCCTATTGCTTGGTTCCTATCTCCGATGTGCCTTACTACTCAAGCAAAATTTACTTTGGTGCTAATGCTATTGTTTCAGGGTACGGAGTCGTCTCTACTCCTTTGGTAAAGAAAAACCCAGATACCTTCTATCTTCTCACCCTACTAGCGATCTCTGTTGACGATGTTATAATACAATTCAAAGGTTCTTCTTTTGGAACCACAGAAGGGAACATCATCATTGACTCAGGGACTACAGTGACAATGTTGCCTAAATACTTTTACTTGGAATTGGAGTCAGCAATTGCTAGTAAGATACAGGCCAAGCGTGTTCATGACCCTGATAAGGTTTTCGGTCTCTGCTACAAATTTAATTCCAATTTTAAAGTTCCCAAAATTGTAGTTCGTTTTGCTTTTGCTTCTGTGAAGTTGGATCCTTTAAACACCTTCATTATGATAACTAAGCATGTTGGGTGCTTCACGTTTTTACCGACGGACGACGGGTTTGCAATCTATGGCAACTTGAACCAGATGAACTTCTGGATTGGGTATGATACCGTGAAGCGGACTGTTTCCTTCAAGCCAACTGATTGCACAATGCACTAGCTTTATGCTTGAGCCTTTCATTTCTTGTTCTACGTATATGTGATTACCCTTCCATACAAGATATTAATGTATTTTCTTTGTTTTCTTACTTTGGACTAGAATTCCTCTCTACCTGCGTGATTCAAAGTGTTTATGCTTGCAATTGTTTGGAATGCTTGTTAAGTGTTTGATGGAAAAGAATATAGTTTTTGTAAATTTTGACTCTGATGGTCTTATCTACTACTACTACTACTTTTTAATTTTCCTTGCAGAATAAAATAAATTTTGATTAGTACACGCTTCTAAATTTTGGTGGGTGAAGATTGCGTTCCTATGTTGTTTTGCCTTTTACTCTAATTATAATATAGGTAAAATCTTACATTAAGCTTCCAAACTTATTCTAGATTTCAATTAAGCACTTAAACTTTTATTGAAGTAAATAAACTCCTAACTTATTGATGTGAGCAATTTAACTCTCTTCCTTATTGCAGACTTAACACTCGTTTGTGCCTTTCTTGCATTGATAAGGTTAATACTTATTACATAGGCAATGATATGTCAATAACTTATTCATGCAAATGATGCACAAACTAACGTTAAATTTGCTATAAGGAAGAAGGGTTAAATTGCTCAAATTGCCAAGTTTAAGAGTTTATTTGCATCAATATATAAAAGTTTAGTGGTTTAATTGAGAATCTAGCGTAATTTTGAGGGCTTAATAGAGAGCATAACCTGATGAAGTAGCTATTGTTTTTAATGTGAAAGGATTGAACATTTTAGTTAATGATTTGTTATATGTTATCTAATGTTCAGTTACTGATTTCATAATTAGACATGTCAAATGTGGGAAACTAATCTTGGTAGTCCCATTCAAGTAGAGCACCATAACTTTGTCTTTTAGCCTTTTGCAGTATTACAAGAGTTTCAAAGTCGTATTATTTTAGGATAAGATCATGGGAGTAACCCAATAAATTAAGCTATTTGTTTCAATCTTCCACATAATGGGCAGCCATAAGTGATTGAAAATGAGAGGTAAGAGTATGAATTTGAGATGCTCTTAGCTCTCACCTATAAGCTTGAACTCACTCCTCTATTGCTAGCGGTCTAACTAGGATATTAAGGTAAGACCAAGTTGTTTGTTTCAATTTATTTGTTTATTGATTTTGGACTTTTAACAATGACATTTATTAGATTACTTAGTTTTTTTTTTTTTCAACTTAAAATGTATTTTGTTTGCATTTTAGGATCCATATGGAGTGCCAACCCTTCTAGATCATGCATCTTAAAGTAATGATAAGATCATGTCAAATGTGGGAAACTAATCTTGGTAGTCCCATTCAAGTAGAGCACCATAACTTTGTCTTTTAGCCTTTTGCAGTACTACAAGAGTTTCAAAGTCGTATTATTTTAGGATAAGATCATGGGAGTAACCCAATAAATTAAGCTATTTGTTTCAATCTTTCACATAATGGGCAGCCATAAGTCATTGGAAATGAAAGGTAGGAGTATGAATTTGAGATGCTCTTAGCTCTTAGCTATAAGCTTGAACTCACTCCTCTATTGCTAGCGGTCTAACTAGGATATTAAGGTAAGACCAAGTTGTTTGTTTCAATTTGTTTGTTTGTTGATTTTGGACTTTTAACAATGAGATTTATTAGATTACTTAGTTTTTTTTTTTTTTTGCATTTTAGGGTCAATATGGAGTGCCAGCCTTTCCAGATCAAGCATCTTAAAGTAATGATGTTGTTGGTGACAACAATGTAGAGCATTTGGATATGATATTTCAAGGCTACAATGAGTTTGATTGTTAGTAGCAACAATGTCATTTTCTTATTATTTTGTGTTTGAATATAACAACTCAAGCTTTTGCGTACCCTTAGATATTGTTGTATATATGCTATTTGGATTTTATTTTCTATCGTTTTCTACATATATTCAACTTTTAAAACTTAATCATTTATATACTATTTAGGCATTGTTGTTATGTTTTCTTTAGATATGACAAAATTAAGCATTTAATAATATATTAATTTTATATAGATTTTTGATTAATTAATGTCATATTTGGTTTCATTAGTTGTGCTCTAATTCTAAATGAGTAAACAAATAGGCATTGTTTTGATAAGTAGGAAATAGTGAGAAGATAAAAAAAACGCACACACACACATTTTCCCCGCGTTTAGGCAAACGCCATCAACCAAAAATGAGGCCCTGTGTTTGACCAAAAAAATGCAAGTAAAAATATCAAATATTTGGGATTTTTAAGATGGATATCACTTGTATTCTTCTACTGATTTTCCCGCGTTTTTAGTAAATGCAGTGGAAAAGAAGGTTATACTAATGTTTACATAAAATGCAAGTATGGTATTAACTGGTGTCACTATACCAACATATGTGTGGTATTTTTGTAAATGCTGGTAACTTTTTAACCTGTATTTAAAAATGTAGATAAATCCTTTAACAAACATAGGGAATGGGCCTTTTTCGTCTAGTGTACTGCAATATGTATGTATTTTTTAAACCAAAAAAAATGATATATGTATTTTTTTAATGATACAAAGTCATATGTATGTTTTAATTTCATGAATTTTTTTTAGCTAAAAACATTAAATTTCTTAAGATTATTAATTTCTTGTTTATAAGAATGCCAAATTTAATTATTACTATCTATGTGATAGTCACCAGTCAATGTGAACTCAATTAACCAAGGCTATGCTTGGTTTGAGGAGAACGTTTGGCTTGAGGAGAGAGGGATAAATTTTTTAACCAATTAGGTTGTGATATTTGAAAACATTATTATATATATCTATTATGAGTTATACAAGAAAGGATAATCCTTCTCTTTTTTCAAATTCCTTTTTACTTGACTTTAGATTTGAACTTAAAATTTTCAACTTAAAATTTTCAACTTAAAATCTAACCATAGCTATTCTTAATATGCAAAATCTATATGAAATATTATAAAATAAGGGAGAGTATTTAATAATTCCTCCTTTTTTTTTGTTACATAAATCTTTACCAACTTTTTCTTCTATAATTGTTTAACTTGCAAAATTTTGTTTTACAGTTTTTTTTTTCTTATCCCTTCTCTCATTTCCAATTTCCTATCATTTTTGTTCGTTTCTATTCTATTCCTTAACTAGTTTTACAAGCTATTTTGATATGTTAATATAAGTGCTTAAATCAAAATTACAAAAAGAACGTGATTTGAATGAAATTTAGTGTAATTGAATGCACATTCCCAATATATGTAATAGTAATTTGAGATATATATACAATTTAGAAGGATTGTGAAGTAGAATTTGTATTTTAAAAAGTCAAAAAGTTAATAATAGTATAATATGAATAAAATAACAAATATAATATCTTCTTGCCAAAAAAAAATTCAATATCTTCAATTCTTCATATGGCTTGATTTCTATCAAATTCATATATTTTTTATTCAATTCAATGTAGGAATCAACACTATTATTACTATGATGGACTCCAATCCCATGAGTAAAGTTGTCTCTTTAACACCAACATTTTAAAAGCCGGATCAGATCGGTCGGTTGAACCAGTATTCGGTATTAAAAATGGTTCGGATCAATATTTAAAACCAATAGAGTGGTTGAATTGCTCAAAACCGATAAAACCGTTCAAACCAAAAAACCATTCAACTGGACGGTTTAAATCCTTTGGAGGATTTACCTTAAATTTGCTACCTCGGCGGCTTGAACACATAACTTCAAAAAGATTTTCTGTGACTTTTGCCCCTAGGACGTTACCTCTTTGATTGTAATGATTTGCTAACAATTTTATTTATTTTATTTTGAAAGAACAGAATTGATGATACCATCCAGCAGAATCGAATTTTCTTCCCTTGTATGAACTTTGATGTTAAAATTAATATAGTGTTTCTTTAATTTTTATCTTAAATATATAAATTAAAAGTGTGA